ARRAAAAAAAAAAAATTTAGCAAAATGATAAGTATGTAAAACTAGATACATGGCCAAGTGGGGTTCATCCAAGCAAGGTTAATTTAATATCCTAAACATTTACTCAAACATGATAAAATTAATTAATATAATCCACAGTGCAAAGGAAAACCATCGAATCATCTAAGTTTATGCAAGAAAAGCACTTGACAAATGCCAACATTCATTAATGACAAAGATTCTCAGAAAAATAGGAAAGAAGGGGAGATTTTCAACCAATAAAAGGCATCTATATAAAAACCCACAGCTAATATCATATTTAATGGTAAAAGACTAAATGCTTTCCCTCTGGGAGCAGAAATAAGGAAAAAATATGATTTGTCACCACTTCTCTTCAATATGGTACTGGAGGTTCTGGCCAGCATAATCAAACAAGAAAAAGAAAGAAAACACATCCAGATTTGAAAGGGCAAAGTAAAACTAAATCTGCAGATGATATGGTCATTCATATTTTTAAAAAATTCTCAAAAGCTACAAAAAACTTACTCAAATAAGTGAGTTTAGCAAGAATGTGGAATAAAAAAACAAGATATAAACATATATTTCTATATGATAGAAACAAGAAATCATAAATTAAAAATTTTTAAATAACTGTTAAATAAAATTTTAAAATATGAAATATTTAGAGATATGTGTATCAAAAGATGTGCAAGACCTGTACACTGAAAACTACAAAAAATTACAGAAATGAAAAATCTAAATGGGTAGATAAACCATGTCCATGGATCAGAAGACTTGTTATCGTTAAAACAGCAGGTTTCCTCCAACTGTCTGATAGACTCAGCAATTCCATTCACTATCCTAGCAGGTTTCTCTGTAAAAATTGACAAGTTGATTGTAAATTTATATGAAAATTCCAAGAACATAAAACAGCCAAGCTACTACTTCTTCTTCTTTGGACCTAGGAATTGAACCCAGAGGCACTTTACCACTGAGCAACATCTCCAGCTCTTTTTATTCTTTATTTTGAGACTGGGTCTTGCTAAGTTGCATAGGGCTTCACTAAATTGCTGAAACTRGCTTCAAACTTGTGATTCTCCTGACTCAGGCTCCCCAGTACCTGGGATTACTGGTGTGTACCACTGTGTCCAGTGCCAAAAAAAAAAAAAAAAAAAAAAAAAAAAAAACTTGCAACTTTATAATAAGAAAACAACCCAACTTCAAAAATGTGCAAAAGATGTGAATAGATGTCACACCAAAAAAACATAGATGTAGCAAATAAACACATGAAATAATTCCTAACAGCATTAGCCACTACAGAAATACAAAGGAAACAACCATGAGATATCACTACACACCCACTAACATAACTAAAATAAAGACTGCATATTAAAGACTGGTAAGGATGAAAAATAACTAATAATGCTCAAAAACTACAGTTGGACATATAAAATGTTACAATCAGTTTGGAAGTTTCTGTAAAAATTAAAACACCAGGCCAGGTTTGGGGGTGCAAGTCTGTAATCCTCGCTATTCAGGTGGTGAGGCAGGAGGATCACAAGTTTGAGGCCAACCTGGGCAAAACKTAGTGAGACCTCATCTCAAAATAAAATAAAAGGGGCTAAGGATGTGACGTAGTGGTGGAATTCCCCTGAACTCAATCCCCAGTACCAGAAAAAAATTAAACACCATAACTGACATTCCTAAATATTTGCCAAAGGGAAGCGAAAATATATATGTCTGCAAAAAGATATGTACACAAATGTACATACCGGCCTATTTTGTAATAGCCAAAAAATGAAAACAACTCAATGTTTTTCAACCCATGAGCAGATACATAAATCATGATACACTCACTCTGATAACTCATATTTTCATTCTTTTCAGTACAATGCTATTTTGTGTATATGACATTT